TACCAAGTTCATTATTTGGGAAGCTAAATTACCACGTCGGCAGCACCGCATTCGGCTTAATTCGGGCTACACCGTGATACGGTCGCTGCTTATTGGGATGGCGCAGTTAAGTACCTTGCAAATAAGGCGTATTTTGCAAAGGGTAGAGCACCTGACCCGGAGACTGCAGTGGATAATACACGCTACCCATCTATAAGTTTCACCGTCGGTTGCCCGGTTTCCCGGACTGGGGAATCCGTTGCCATAATCCCTGGCGATACCGGCCACTTAATCGTGGCACCGGGGTCCATTACCCCGTATTGTCGGGGGAAGCCAAACGCCAGCAACGTTCGCCCCCTGGAGAACTTGCTGTGCCAGGCTTGCGGCACCACACAGTGCCAGGGCCCGCCGCGTCTTGCTGGGACGCAGTGCTGTCCATGTCGGTCTTGGGGCGCGTGTCGCCGCTCTATCGGCAGGGCTGGTGGAGCGAAGCCAAAAACGAGAGCCGCAAAGACACGGGGAAAAACAAACAAAAAAGCAAGCCCGCGTAAGAAGGCTAATTGTTTGGCGCCCATTTGCCATAGCAAGAAAGAGGTGGCTTTGAATTAAAAAATACTACGGCGCCTGCGGGGGGCGCCGCCCCTGGGCCCGGCAGGGGTGAAAGACATGGGAGGGGGGGTCGCCAAATGACATGCGCCGAAGGGGTCCAAAGGAATCCTTGTTTTCCCATTGCTTTTTCTATGATTCTGCGCCTGGGCCTTTCTCGTGGTGGTCGGGGTTCGCCGGGCCTTTTTGCTCCGGGCAGATTTTTTTGCACAGAAGCGACCGTTTTGTGCCAGGGGTGGCTCTAAAAATCCCGAAAAACGCGCGTTAGCCCCTTCAGGCTCATGGCGATTTTTTTCTGAGTCGGCGGCGGGCGGCCCCGTATTCAGATAGGGCGCGTTGTTTTTCAAAAGGGCAGGGGAGATTTTGCATTTGCGTTGGCAACGCGGAAGCCAAACACACATTATATGGAAAGGTGCTGCGCACTCGGATTCTTATTAGGAAAGGCGCGCGCAGTGGACAAAGTTTGCGCCTTCTTCAGATACATGCTTCTTGATGGCATGCGCCTTTGAGGGCAAACTCTGCGCACAGCAATGTAAAGGACCAAGCCGCCAACCACAAAGACACTGCTAAAGGGCGGGGCTTGCAAAAAGGAACTCATGAGGCGTGTTAAAAGGCGTCTTCAGCACCCCCTTTTCGTTTCCACCTATTTTATTTATTGGGAAAAAGATGCCTTGTAGGACTATATATTTTGGGGGCGATCCGAATGTATGGGGCTTATCGTTGGCAGAACGCCTTTTTTCATTTAAAAACCACAAGACATCTTCCACTTATTCTCCTCTTTTGATCCCGACCGAAAGGACAGGTGAGGCGTAGCTTATTCCCTTTTCCTGACGATGAAGGTTGGTGGGCTGTGGGAAATATGAAAGACTATGTGCGCCCGGCTGGTATCCCCACAAGGTTGTGACTCACAGTGAAATTTCTCAAGCAATCATCCGTATCGAATACACCACCTACCTCGCATGCAGAATAGTCTATACCTTACCTACCTCTATTAAGTAAAAAAAAGAGTAGGAGAAACCTAATATCCAATTCCCATCGCGAAAACAATGCCCCTAGATTGCATATTTAGAAGGTGTTCCAGCATACAGCAAAGCATTGCCCATATAGGGGGTTAAAATCATGTATTAAAACTGACAAAAAGAAGGTGCTGAAAGCGCCCTTAACCCGCCCCCCGCATCCCCTTCGCAAGTCCCGCCCCTTCGCGATGTCCGTCGGTAAAACCTTGACCCCTCGTGGGATGCCGTCCGCAGGATTCTTTTCCGACGCGACATACCCCCATGTGGCGTGTAAGCCTTGGCCGCGCAGCGCCCTATCGATGTGCCCTGCCACTCCCACGGGGGCATCGGAATGCGTGCTGCCTTTCGGCATACTATGCATCACTGTCGTGCTGTCGGCGCATATATGGATTTTGGCCGGTAAATTCTCCTTGAAAGCGAGCAGGGTCAATCCTACGGCCCTTGC